CCGGTGGTGTAGTGGTAAGCGTGATTACCTCTCACCTCAGCAGGCCTGGCTTCAATCCCAGTCGGCGCCGCCGGGATGTTCTGAGGCATAACATCTCTGATCACGTCTTCCTTCGGAAGGGAAGTAAAGCCGTTGATCCCCGGTTCATGAGTTGATGGGTCGATAGGTAGGGTCCAGGTGTGGGAGCTGCCTCCCTGGCGTCGGTAGCATTGGTGCTCAGCACGGAAAACAAGATCGACGGAAAACAAATCAAGGAAAAAAAAAATACTGGTGCCATTTGCCTTTGATGCATGCTAAAGCATCAATCAAGATAAAACGCGATACTTAAATATCATCCGATCTTGTCACATTCATTGTTAAAAAATGTTGAAAATTCCACATAAATTACCTCATCATTAACGTGAAAAAAATAAAAATAAAAACAAAACAGTTCTCATTTTGTGGTCTTTTTAAGATGATAGATTAAATCTAATGTGAAATGTGCTTCGAAAGATCGCAAAAAATAAGCCCGCCTTCGGAAATCGTTGATTTCACTTATTATTTTGAATTGGGGAGACAAAGTATAGATATTTTTTAAATTAATCATTGCGTCCAGCCGAGATAATTTGATGATTTCCATAATCTCTATTTTTGCTCATTGATGAATTGATGAGATTAAAGTTATTTTCAAGGAAAAACATCTTGATAAACGAGGATAGTAAAAAACAAATGGAATAATACCAATATGGCGATGGCATAAAAATTGATTTTCCATTGGCCAATTGTGAAAAAGCTATTTTGCTTTCATGAAATCGCTAACAAATACAAAACGTTTTAGTTCAACTTTGATGATAAGATAATTTGCAGACTGAATCGTTTTTATCTGAGGCCATTTTGCTTGATCCTATTCCGTTTGGTTTTATGACGGCATTAATGGTTTTAAAGTTGTCTGGATAAAGTTAAACGTCAAAATTTTCATCTCGTTAATCCTAGCAGTTAGTGTACTCCTTACTGTATCTTTAGACATCGTTAGATCTATATGCTAACAATAATTATTATACACTCTCATCATTCTACTAATTGGTCCATTTGTACCATAATTCGTTCTGTGAGGTGACAGTTGCAATACATTTCGATTTCTATACATGTGTGATGGTACGTAAAAATTTAATCTTGCTAATATGTTTTCTGAATTTGCGCGTTGTGAGATTATATCATTAACAAAGGAAATCATGGAAATTTCTCTTCGTTTCTTAAGTGTTTCAATGTTTATCAACATGCAACGGGACTCATAAGAAGGAAGGGGAAAAGAGGTCCAGCCTAGTTTCCTAAGAGCAAATAACAAAAACTGTTTTTGAACTGATTCTATACGATTTATATAAGTTTCATGGTATGGAGCCCAAACCACACTTCAATATTCGAGAATTGATCCCACGTAAGCTATATAAAGTGTTTCGATGGTATATGGATCTTTAAAATGATAACTAAATCTTTTTATGAACCCCATGCTTTGTGAATTGTGGTATTAACATGATCTACAAATGTCAACTTCGAGTCAAGAATTACTCCTAAGTCCCTAATTTTATCACACCTTTCAACCAGCTGGTTTCCTAGAATACATGTAAAATCTAAAGTAGTGTGTTTTCGGGAATAAGATATAATATTGCATTTTTTAACATTAATATCCAGCAGACTTTTAACGCACCAATTGTAGAAAACATAAATTTCATTTTGAAAATGTAGCAAATCAGAATTGTTAAAGATTTCCATGTACAGTTTCATATCGTCAGCATATATGAGCACATTTAAGCGATTCAACACAAACTTCACGTCATCCATAAATAAAATAAATAATAAAGGACCTAAATGAGATCCCTGTGGAATTACCGAGGTAACATTAACTGGCGAGGACATTTTTCCTTTAAAGTGGACCATCTGTATTCTTTCTGTCAAGTATGATCCAATCCATTTTAAAAGTGTACTTGTCATACCTAAAAGTTTTAATTTAAAAAGAAGTAAGGGAATGTCTACTCTGTCAAAGGCCTTACTAAAGTCAGTGTATAAGTTTTCAACGGTATTACCTCTACCCATTGCTTCAATAGAAAAGTTTACAAATTCCAACAGATTAGTAGACGTTGACCGACCTTTAAAAAAACCATGTTGATTATTTGAAATGCGATGCTTAACCTGGTTAAATATTACTGGTTAAATAGGTACTTCCATCAATTTTAAGGGTCTAATTTGACACCTTCCAGTGCTTCTTGAACCACATTTACTTCACTCTTCTCAGTCGGCTGTGTTAATAATTATTCAGTCGGAGCTACTGGGCCTCCCAAGAAGTGCTGGAGGTGGATTCCTTTCCCTTCCGTCGACAGCATCTAGTATTATTACTCGACTATCCTTTGGCATTTCCTTGGGACCCTGCGTTTTAAAGCTTCCATGGATTTAGTTTTTCTCTGTCTCTACGCGGATCCATATTTTTAGTAAACAGTACGGGGTTTTGTAATACACTTTATTCGCACAAAAAAAGCAACCATAAATGCGTTTTGTTCCCATTTGAAACCAATGGTTTTATGATTGCTTTTGTAACGATAAAACACCTTTTTGGAGTATTTTGTCGTGACACCAATAATAATAATAATACTGAGCAGGTTTACGATTGACTAACTGAACAGATTTATACATTATACATACATACATACATACATACATACATACAGATGCATTAAATTCATGTTTAAAAACAAACCTATTTTGACTTTATTGTCAGACTTTAAAAGGTTTTTAAAACAGCAAAATGCTGAACTACTCACCAGCAATGTGTTGCACTATTAAATGCTGTATTTAAACTAAAAAGCAATGTCATTATAAAACCACAATAAATCAGTGTGAAAGCAAAAAGGGTGCTAAATTGTTGTTTGAGCATATCCACCCAGTGGTATTCAAAGCCAATCTTATCAGGGTGGCTACTGAATTACCACTCGTTCCACCCCACTAGCATGAAGATAAACGTCGCTGACAATTTCATAAAATAGTCACATCTCTAACCAAAATTATTACCAACCAAAATCATCAACAACAATACAACATAATGTTTCAACAACTACAATTTTTAGCAACCCTTGAGAAAGGCCGAAACCAAACGGTCGAAACGTCGGGAACGGAAAAAACAAATCGTTTCTACAAAAGACTGAGAGAGCCACCTCATAAAGTAATTCCAATCAACCAGTCGAAACCACCATTAGCGTTACCAATTTAATTCGTTAAAACAAATCTGAAAGCTGCTCAACTGGAGTTGCTCTTCTAAACATAGAAAAAGCATATGAGAGTGTTTGGCATGAAGGTTTGATAGCTAAATTGAAAAAGTTTAATTTTACACTCTATATTATGAAATTAGTTCAAAATAATTTATAGCTGACAGAACTCTGCAGGTAAATTATCAAAATTCTAAATCTGAACGACTACCTGTTAGAGCAGGAGTTCCTCAGGGTAGCAATTTTATTTATTTATTTTCTTAGCAGACTGCAGAAGAGTTTAGATATTTTCTCTTCTTATTTACAAAAATGGAAGATTGCTCCCAACGCTTCCAAAACTCAACTTATAATATTTCCACATAAGCCTAGAGCTTCTTTTTTGAAACCTAGTAGTAGTCACATAGTTACTATGCACGGAGTTCCAGTGTCTTGGTCAAGTCAAGTGAAATATCTTGAATTAGTTCTTGACCAAGAATTAAATTTAAAAGATCACATTGAGGGCATTCAAGCCATAAAAAATGTATGTACTCTATTTTGAATTTAAACATTCTTACTGCAAAAGTAACCATGCCCTAAATAAATATCTTCTACTGACACAAAAACTTTAACGTTAAACCTTTCCAAGGTCGACATTCAAAAAAAAATACACAAACAACAGAAGAAAGCAGTATTATAATAACGCAATGAAAAATGTTCTCTGAGTACCGTTGAAATGCTATATTAAGAAGATAAAGTATCGCGAGGATGTGTCATTAGACTCTACATGTCCTTCTTTTCCTATGGCTGTTCACAGAAATGCGTAATGCTCTGCTGGACCACACCGCAAAACGTTGTTTTTCCGGAGCACACACACACACAGTTCCGTTGCGTTGTACATAGGAGGTCTCAGCGCTCAGCATGGCCGGGATTTTTCGTTTTGTTTATTTTGCATACGGCGCGGCGTAACGAACGATGACGGAGTTCTCCAGAAACCAACCACCAAGCAGGGGTGTGAAATAGCGTTCGGCTAGTAATAAGTTATTTACATCTCGGCATAAATTTTCAATCTGAAGTACGGTCATAAATTATGCAGACGCACAGCAGGCATTGAATGCCCGTTGTCTCTCCGCGAGGCGACGGGCTTCGCTGGGAAAAAGGGATATGCTACCGTAAGTTCAGGCTGTTTTGCTCCCAAATTAGTGGAATTGCTTAGTGTATTTTATTGATTTTCTCCTTTGGCTTTATTACGTTTCTACTGGGACTTTTGAGAACTTCCCAAGCCTGTTTCATTTTTACATTTGTAATTGTGTGGAAAGTACAATCATACTCTATGCCCAGGGAAGTCGAGAAATTTTCCTAGACCAGATCGGGAATCGAACCCAGAAGCCACCAGCATGGTATTGCTACACTTTTGCCGACTGAACTAAGGGAGGTTATAATGTCTCTAAAAATAATCTTGGTGTAAAGTACCATAGGCAAGCACCAAAGTAACTCAATTTAACGTTGCTACTCTTGAATTCGTGTACAAATGGCCATACGGAAAGATCGTCGACACAGCTGGGTTTGCTCACTGAAGTTAATTTTAGGGATGGGATGGATTGTCCTTCAGATTTGGATATTTTTTATGATAAATTTCTGTAATTTTTATGGTGGCTGCGAATTGTTCAAATCGTTCATATCAATAGAATTTATTACTGAATTTTGCGAACCCGTAGTTTGGAAAACATGAGCATTACTAATACCGATCATGGTCACACTTTTGTTTTCTCTTATTTATTGTCCCTGCAGGGCTATTATACATCGCATTGGCCATCCAAGGCGCTCAGTCCGTTGTAAAATGGTGCAAATTTGAATACATCAATGGTGTCACGGACAGTGTGACAGCCCTGCCAACGTCATTGACCCTCGGTTCGGCACTGGTCCTGGCAGCACTGGTCATCGTCGATGGAGTTGCCGTGTATCGAGAGGTAGGTACTTGTGGTTTGTTTGAATGCAATGCGAAACAGTGGTGTGGTATCTGCAAAAGTGCCTGCTGAGAATATCCCGATTGGTATTCGGTACCACTTAGTTGCAGGTTTAATCTAACAGTGTTACTTGATCCCCACCAACTATCATTAACATGATTTTTTTCTAATAATATTATTATTTTTACGTCACATTTTGTAGTAAAAATTACTATATTTACTTTCTCTTACACAAGCAGGTTTGGCGAATATTCTATTATTGACCCATAAATGATTTTCATCGAAATTGAAATAAAATATTTGGACTGACCTGTTTCTACTGATTAACATAATTATATTCACCTAATCCTCACTATCGTCAGCTTTGAAAATATCATTCTTGCAGACACAAATCTCTGGCGTCAAATAAATTAAGCACCTGAAGCGCCAGCCGTAATAAAAAGCGCATCATCACATAATTTTATGGCACGGCACTCTGCCCCTGCTGGATGACTAACGACTTTGGCACTCAAAGAACATCCTCCAGTTATCTCATTCCAACCGCAGTGCTCGAGTATAATTCACTTAATCCACCCAAAAATTACCATCAACCTAATTGCTCATATTATGTAAACTATTCCCCGTCGTCGTCCGGGGGCAAAAAATAAACTTTCCAGTTCCTTTACTGTCAAACTAACAGCCCTGAACGATCCCAGACAGGGCGGGCCACTTGTCTGTCGTCTTCCCTTGCGCCCCCATTCCCTCTATTTCCTGGTACGGGGAAAGGGTGACATAATGGCGAAACTTTTAATGTACGACAATCTAATTATAAATTATTTTCCACGTCATCGTGCTTCTTCTCCTCCGCCGACCGACATTGTCAGTTATGATGCGCGTATCATAAAGCAAACCACCACCGGGGTACCACAGCTACTGTCCCGTTCATCATCGGTCGGTTGGCAGTTCAGTTATTCAGTATGCAAAAAGCTGGAGGGCTTCCAAACCTCTCACTTCTATATCGACCAACTGGACATTCCTACCCTCCGGTGGACCAAACTATGAACCGTAATGTTCTCACTGAGCCAAGGTGAAGCGTACGTACCTAGCACACAAAAAAAAAGTGATCCCAGTGGCGTTTCGATGAGCCATGAGTGTTTAAATTCCGCAAAATTTATGGCGTACTTAAAATATGCAAAATGAAAGCAAAAACGCAATTTAATCTACGGAAGGCGATGAGCGCGTACAGCGTGAGTTATGCGAAACGGATTATGCTAAAAATGTGGACGTCGGAGAGGGATGTTAGAGGTCTGATAGTAGTGAACTTATGCTGGTAAAATGTTGCGAATGCTTTGAAATTATCTGATGGTTACATTAGATTGACGCCATGTTGCTGTGTAGATAATTTAATCTTTTTTTTGGTTCATGTGTAAAGCTATGTGAATTAATTGTTGGTGCATATTCGTCAGGAAGTCCAAATACAACTATTGTAATATATTATTACTCCCGTATTCGTTAGGTTGAATTGCATTACTTACAATGGATCGTTACTCGGAGAGAAAATGTAGTACACGAAACGGGATTAAATTATTTTATTCATGTGTTTCACTTATACATTTTTACCAAAACACAGCCTAATAATATATACTGATTCTTTTAAAACATGTATTTTGTGCAACAAACATGAGATAGTTGTTAAGGTTGCAAATACTCATTTCAGCTAAAGCAATGTTTTTTTTTTATTATAAAATAATTCGATGCTATGATCATATTTTGAATAGGTATGGACATATTAAACCTCAGAGTTGGTTGGAAATGCTAACATGAAGCTTTAGTGTGATAATTTATTAGCTAGAGAATGATCTTTAGAAGAGGGTAGGAGGATAGTTCCGTTAGAGTACGGCAGTATGAAAATTGAATAGAAGTTGAAAATGAGCAAAGGGCCATTAATGCGACAGTTTTTAAAGTTAGACGCACATCTTTTGCCTAACCCATACGATGTACGTGGAGACTTGAAGTATGTCTCCAAGTCTACAGGCAAAACATGTGCGTCCCTCTTTTGCTCATAAACTGACTGTGGCTGTGGAATAGTTCTAGCGACGTTTTCATCACTACCTAAAGCCCCACGTTGCGAGAGCATTTCCAGTCGATGGTGTGTTATAATGCAATACTTCTTTACCCAACTATTGTGTTGCTCCTCTCGTCATTTTTTGCCTGTAGACTTGGAGACATACTTCAAGTCTCCGCGTACATCGTACGGGTTAGGCAAAAGATGTGCGTCTAACTTTAAAAACTGTCACATTAATGGCCCTTCGCTCATTTTCAACTTCTACTCAATTTTCATACTGCCGTACTCTAACGGAACTATCCACCTACCCTCTTCTTAAGATCATTATCTAGCTAATAAATTATCACACTAAAGCTTCATGTTAGCATTTCCAACCAACTCTGAAAATCGCTAACTTCACGTATGAAGTAACATACAACACTTTGAATATATTAAACCTGTTTATTTCACATCATGAAAGTCACAATCAGCGATATTTCACACACTCACTCACTCACTCACTCACTCAGCGATCAGCAAATCGCTGATTGTGACTCATAGAAAGCAAAATTTACAGGTTTTATGTTTCAAACGCATACTTTGCAGCCTCTTCTTGTAAGTTACAAATAAAACATGTCATCATACCATATTTTGGTTTTATTATTCCAAAAAACTTTATTTTAGCTGAAATGAGTATTTGCAACCTTGACAGTTGTTATACTCAATCGACTAAAAATTAAGCTTTTAACAGCATACATTTGAAAAGAATGGAATGAATTCACTTTTCGTAAATTTTTAAGATGATTTACTGTATAAATAACAGGTTACACACTCAACTAAAATCTTATTTATGATGTATAATAAAGGAATAATCATTTGAAATACTGCATGTCGTTTTACTAGGTGGGGTGAAAAGTAACCTCCTTAAGAATACATTTTTTTTTGTTAATGTTTTTATTTTATTTTATTCAATATAGTCCCCTTTCAGCTCGATTCACTTATTCCAGCGATTTTCCAACTTCATGATCCCGTCCGAAAAGTAATTTTCCAGAAGGTCTGCAAAATACTCCTCCACGGCGTCGATGATTTCCTCACGTGAGCTGAATTTTTTTTGATGGTCCATCTTTTGAGATTTGGGTAGAGATATTAGTCTGAGGGAGCCAAATCGGGCGAATACGGTGGATGTGGAAGCAATTGGAGCCGTAAGTCATTGATTTTAGCTGTGGTTGCGATGCTCTTGTGCGCCGGCGCATTGCCTTGCAAAAACAATTTTTTATTCGCTTCATGTGAGGCCGTTTTGCAGCGATTTTGGCATTCAATCGCTCCAATAATGCACAGTAATACCATAGAGGTAACTCTAAGACTAGAAAGTCCCGAAGAAACGTGCTGAACTTTTTGGCTCAGCTCTGGTACTGTCTTCGGTCCCAAGCTAAACGATTCACCCCTCGAAACATAGGAAAATCCACTAACCCCTCATTTTATCTGTCAAACTTTCATAGCGAATCAAAACAAACATTGTGTACTACTGGAATTTATACTAGAATGTGTTACGTTAGTCGATTTGCTTGGGACCAATAGGGTAGTCAAGTAGTGAGCCAATTTAAAATCGTTAGTTTCGTATTGATTGTTGGTAATATTGGTTTTTCCTTTTTAGAGGTATATCACGAAGTGTATGGCATGACAATCCCAGAAAATCTACGTCATAACCTTTCCGACCCATCGAGCCTCCCTCGGCCGCTTCGGAACACTCGTGCCAGCTTCAGTCCATTGCCGGGCACTCATTCCGTTCTCTGGGGTGTAATAGTGGATCCAGGTTTCATCAACAGTTACCAATCGACGCCAAAAGTCTGCCCGATTCCGTATCAGCAAGTCCAAACACTCGTTTGAAGTGCTCTCGCGTTCGTGTTTTTGGTCAGGAGTGAGCCTGTGTGGCACCCAGCGGCAGGATAACTTTTTCATTTGAAGAATCTCGCCCAAAATATGGCGTGTGTGCTCAGTATTAACAACCGGTGGAAACTAACGATTTAAAATTGGCTCACTACTTAACTAGCCTATTGGTCCCAAGCAAATCGATTAACGTATTCAATTCTAGTTGAAATTCTAGTACTACGCTATGTTTGTTTTGATTCGATATGAAAGTTTGACAGATAAAATGAGGGGGTTCGTGGATTTTCGATTAGCTTGGGACCGAAGATAGTACCAGAGCTGAGCCAACAAGTTGAGCACGTTTCTTCGGGCTCCTCTATGGTATTAATCTTTGCGGTATCTGCTAGCTCACGCACCTTCACTTTCCGGTCAGCCAACACCATTTCATGTATTTTTTTGACATTGTCCTCTGTAACCGCATCGGAGGGCCTACTGTTGCGGACTTGATCGTTAGTAGAGTTGTGGCCACCACGAAACTCTCGAAACCAATATTTGACGGTGTAATCTGACTGATTTCTTTTGTTTCCTTCGCCATTTTGCCTCTCAAAAAATAATGTTTTATGAGAGAACGAAAATCGTTTTTATCCATACTCAACATGATGCCATACACGTCAACAACATTGAGCTGTCAAAACAAAACTAAAGACAGTATCGCACTGAAATTTGGCATGTCTGCCATATTTCTTAAATAGGTACTGATCCATCTAATATTTTCCAAATCAATTTAATTATTTTTTAGAATTTCAAAAAATATATCTCACATTAAAAAACATGATTTTCTGAATGAATTTTCTAAACAATGCGCAAGAGGTATAAAGAGATATATTTGAGATATTTGGATTTGATTCAAACAATATATTGTATTCAAACAAATACATCAAAATTATTGTACTGTTTTTCAAAATTAAAAAAAAAGCTCAATTTGAATCAAACTTCAGATTTACATTGGGAAAACTATGCAGAACAACTGTGCAAAAAGTTATCAACCATTTATTTTTGGCCTACTGCACCACGCATACCAACAGGCCTGCGTTTGAACTTATAGGTATGCGCA